AAATTAAAGTTTGCAAATATTTGTAATAAATATGGAAACTTTTTTTACAACATTGTGGAGACAACATAATTAATTAATCACTAATCACTTGCTGAAAACCATTTATTTAAAGATAAACAAATGGTTTCAGTCTAATTTATAGACTATATTCAGGTGCGATTTCAATTGTTACAACATAGGTCAACATTAGAAATATGGAAACTATAATTTTTAAATCAAAATTTTAAAAATATAAATAAAAATTTAGTTATTAGCTGAAAAATCATTTAATTTTATTTTTTTGGATTGAAACAGGATGGAATGAAAGTTGAAGAATGGTAGAATTAATCATTTTTGTCCCTAATCCAATCTTAAATATTAGAGAGGTTGAGGCGCATGTTTTAAACGTGTAAACGTGTACGTGTGACGTTCGGCGCCACTTTCCCGTAAGCCTAAAANTGACTAATTTTTGAATTTTTCAGTAATTTTAAACATTTTATCAATATTTTGCATACATATCAGTGTAATAAAGTTATATTGGCCTTGCTCACTGGTATGAAATGATTGAGTTGAAGCAAACTTCTTATTTAAAAAAATGAAATATTACAATCAAAAGTGGTTGTTAAATAAGTTTTCAGAAAATTCTGAAATTTTGAAAAAGCAAAATATTTTATTTAGTATGTGGTGTCAAAATTAATTTTCAATACTTAAGTATGTGGATTACTGGTCTACGGCTTAATGGCCCCACACTGGTAGAACCATTAAGTTGCGGGCCAGTAATCCACAAATTCTCTTAAGCTGCGCAAAAAGCTTGGATCCCAATTTTTTGACATTATATGTTTTGTTATTCTTAAATAATAATTTATTATTAATTTCAAGACTGTTAATCAAAAAACATTTATTTTTTCATTATTTATTGTAATTTATGCATTATCAAAAAATATTTAAGCTGTGGTTAAGCATCCCAATTACTGTGGCTTAATGGCCCTACACTATAGAGCACATGATATCTGAATGATTGATTTAAATGCCATCTGCCTATTTTTAAAGATATTTACTGTTATTTATTTTCTCTGCGTTATTTTAAATTAAAACATTTCCTTTTGTTTTACTATTGATTATTCAAACAAATATTCTAAACCCGATATATAACATAATAACCGTCGATGGTTAAGTAGTTAGCTTATATACGCTGGAAGAGGAGATCGGGCTGGAGGTCCGGATAGCGTAACTGGCAACGCATCTGCACGGTAAGCAGGAGTTGTGGGTTTGAGTCCCGCTCCGGGCCGATTTTTTTCTCCCAGCGGTTCTAAATTATTTAAATTAATTAATTAATTTATAATTATTAATATTAATAAGAGATGGCGCCTAACGCCTACCTCTAAAGCCAAATTGGTTATGTAATTCATTTAGTAATTAGCCTAAAAACTAGCCCGATAGATTTTCGGCATACGATTGGTATTTAGTTATATTGATTATTCTTCATTAAATTTTTTTAATATGTAAAGTTATTTAGTCAAATAAAACTTTAATTTTTAATAAATAATATAAATTGTAACACATATAGAAAATGCTATGATGTGAAATATTAGAGTTGAGCTGTTGAAATAATCCAATAATATAATAAACACTCAATGTATTATCTCTAGGAAAGATGTTTTTATAGTCAAAATTGAATTCATTTGAAGGTGGAAAACGAAACAAGATTTCATTTTTATCCATTTTGAATCTTTATTTTTACGTAGTAACATTTCATCTCTATATATGTTTTCATTGTTTTATGAAATAACAATGAACTTTAAAAAGAGTAAATAAATAAGGTTACACATTTTTCTGTTTTAATAATTGATTTATATGATTTATCTTCTAAATCTTTGTTTCACTGCATCTGATTTCTGTGTGCATACTGATGCTTCTCATACCCCATTCACACTGTAAACTTTAAATAGTATTAAATTAAGTTGCATTACTAAAAACAAAAACTAACCATTTGCATGTATTATGAGATTAAAGTGGCTTATTTCATATCATTCAGATTCTCTGTCATTAATATAAAATAATTTACAATTAATAAGTCAAGAAACTATCACAAAAATTTGTTAAATTCGAAGGTGGCATGACATTCACTTTAGAATTTGATTAAATTAATAAGTCTTTAATAGGAAATTAAAGTTATATGTAACACAATTATCTCAAAAAAAGTTATATGTTCAGAATTTCTTAATCATAAACTGTTTTGAGGAAAAGGGAGTCAAAGTTATATCGGGTTTACAAGTACAGTAGAACTTGTCTAGTAGAAAATCTCTATCTCCAGTAAAAACTCTTTAGAATACAACTCTTCAGTCATTCAGGAATATTGATTTACCTAGAGTTTGACAGGGATATGCTCACTATGAAAACAATGCGGCATCTTGCTCGTTCCTATTGCAAACAATTACAGTTTATCACATGCACCACAAGGGACAGTTTGGTCATGCATTCTTTGGAGTGTTTGTCTACAGTTCAGGTAGCATCTTTGAAATTGTGAGCTTTATTCAATAATAGCTCCCAAAATAGTCCTAAGTCATCAGCATTGAAAATGTCTGCTAGGTTATATTGGTGTAATATTACCAGCAGAATATTGGTTTCTCAATCAACAACAACAAAATCAAATTGATCATTAGCATGTATGGAGTATTGACCAGTCTAGTTTCTGGAGCAACTTTTTTAAGTTTACAAGGAAAATGTAAAAATAATGACAAATCTCTTCAAAATCCAATTTCATACAGCCCTTAGACATCAAAGATTTCAGGATTGTGTAAAGGTTAGGTGAAATCCTTCAAATACTTTCAAAATTAATAATTACATTTTTATTATCAAAATGATCAGTTTTGCATATAATTGTTTTTATGTTCACCAAAATTTCAATCTATGCTGACTTATGCATCACAAAAATCTGACTATACTGTTCCAGAAGCTTTTAAGTATTTTCAAAATGTACTACAGATTAATTATGATATGTATTAACAGTGCTTTCAGAATTATAATATGATAGTTCATTGTCAAATGTAGCTGCTGCTGCTACTCATAGACAAGACATTATCACTCTATCACTTGCTCTTATGAACATTTTTGTACCAGAACATAAATCCAATACGAGTTAAAATTGGTTTCTTTTTCTTGAAACTTGTTTATGATCAAGGTATTCCAATTATTATGTATAACTTTAATTTTGCACAAAAGTTTATTTTAAACATAAAATATTTAAGTTAAGTAGACTTTTGTCTTTCCTGATAAGTTTGTCTTGGAAAACAAATCAAGCAGATATACTTTTTCAAATTTAAATTGAAAAAGAATGCATGACCAAACATTTAAGTTGGTTTTATTCATGTCATGTTGCTTAAGCTGCTTTCTGATGTAAACTGACTTAAAGTGTACAATATGAATAGAGTATAACAATGTCACTGAAATTGACATATTCTATCTTCATTCTTAGAGAACATTTTTCTGTGTTTGGCTTGATACTATTTAAAATAATGCCTGTTAAAGGTTAGATTTTGAAATAGCATAAATTCATTAAACTTAATTATTTCTTTTTAGTTATAGTCAGTTTAGCAAGAAAATACTAAATCAATTGCATTATTTTCTATGATTCATTTATCTATAAAAATATAATAAAACAATGATGAAAATGTCTTAAAGATTTCTGAAACTTACATAGAAGTGAAAATTATATATAGTGTATATAGAAAAATTATTAAAAATTTAGCATTGTTTTAATAGTAATTTACTTAAGAACAACTATCCATGAGCTAAGCCAAAAATAAAGATATTTTTGGTTTTCTTACCATATATTAACATAATTACTACTTTATAAGATGTAGTTTTTCCAAAAAAATTTTCAGAAATTATTCTTTTTCTGATAAAGTGATCATCAGTTGTTGGAATAAACATAGGAAAACTGACAAATTATATGAAGCCAAGCCAAACTTTAATACATGGGGCTTAGACTGATCTGAATGAAATGCATATAATTATAAATTATTATATAAAGAAATAAATGAAAATAGCCATTAATTTTACATATAAAAATTATCAGCCTATAGCAAATAAGTGGAAACATGATGGAAACAAAATATGTCATTTTTTTTTTCTAGTACCAAATTATCAATCTAGCTATATCTATTATTTATTTTTCTTTTTTCATTACAAGCAAAATCAGTTAATTAAGCTAAATTTTAAATTTACCTTAAAATTTGTCAGAATTAATATTATGAGGGTAATACAAGCTATTTGTAGCTTTGTTATTATGTAAATATAGACAAGCTTAATCTCATTAATTTGTTAGCATTCACAGATATGAAGAACTTTTGCTGTAAAATGGTTAAAAGTGCTTAACTCAACCATAATCTTATCTTTCATAACTTTTCATTACAATTTCATTTCTTATTTCCCCAAAAATGAATGTTTTTTTCCTAAATAATTTTTGCCAAATTATGATGTTTTTAAAAACAAGAAAATGTATTATATTTTATACATTGTTTCCTATTCATATCAAATTGCTTTCACTTGTGTTCCATAAAAAATAATTTATAAATTTTGTTCAAAAGTTATCATGAAAGTGTGAATTTTAATTAAGAACTCCTGTTTAAAACACATTAAGGCATCCATTTAAAATTTTGTTTATATTCTAAATACTGAAGAGGACATTTGTAAAATGCTGAAAGTACTTACATGCATTTGGGTTAAACTAAATTATTTCTGAAAGACGGTGCGTATTTATAAATTTTACTAATTTGGCACTGAGTATATTCATCAGCTTTATTAAAAACAGGAAATATAATTTTTCTCTATCATAACTATTGTATAAAAATTAAAAATTCATATTACACTGTTTTATCATAAATCCAAATATTTTATAATAAATATTTACTTAAATATAATCCTAATTCATTTCTACCCATATAAATAAGTTATAAGTTGGAAATACTGTATAAAGAAATGTTTCAATTATTTTATATTTTATTTATATATTTATAAAGGTATCAGCTGCACAACAACTGCAAAGTGGTCATGGTCCTAAAACTCCTACAAATACACTTCCCCAGACACCTGGTAGTTCTGGGGAAAAGCGCAGAGATAAGGAACGGAAGATTGGGCACAGAAGAGTTGATGAAGAAGGGCAGATTACATATAAAAAGGTAAAATGTATTTCATAACTTACATTTAATATCAATTTTATATTATGTAAATATATATATATTATATTACATAATATGTTATATACATAATATATGTATACACATTTATTATGTTGTTATAATTTTTATTAAAAAATTATGCGTCTTAATTTCTTTTCTTTTTATTTAATCTACACATAAATATTATTATTATTTTTAACTTAAAATTATAATTATATTGTAGTACAGTGTAATAATTACTATATTTTTTCTACAGATACAAACCACACAACTTATGGAATCTATTCAACTTGGTATTAGTTATGCGGTAGGTAGTCTAGCATCAAAACCAGAAAGAGATCTTCTAATGCAAGATTTTGCTATAGTAGAATCAATTTCATTTCCCAAGTAAGAATTGTTTTAAAAAAATCTATAACTTATAATATAATAGAATTTAATTTGATTATATTAAAATGTGTGATTCTAAATTTCAGAGATGGAAGTAATATAACACCAGCTCACCATTACAGTGATTTCAGGTTTAAAGCTTATGCTCCTGTTGCATTTCGATACTTCAGAGATCTGTTTGGTATTCAACCTGATGATTTTTTAGTGAGTTAATTTTAATTTATTTTTAAGTTTTAAGATCCTTTGCATATTGATATGATTGTAAACATTACATTAAGAAAATATTTTTTTAATCAACAAAATTAATTTTTAAGTTTGATATTTTTAATTTTAGTTATCATTATGCAATGAACCCATGCGGGAGCTTACCAATCCAGGTGCCAGTGGAAGTATATTTTATTTAACCAATGATGATGAGTTCATAATAAAGACTGTACAACATAAAGAAGCAGAATTTCTACAGAAACTACTTCCAGGATATTATATGGTAAGTTTTTCTGTTTTATTTGTCTACTTCTCTTTTGACAGAGAGAATTTTTTCTATTACAATTAATCAATAATATTCTGACAATTGAAAATGATGACTAATGCAAGATTTTTTAAGTCTGTAAAGTGAGAGGTGCAGTCAAAAAGTTCCAGGACTGATGACATTGCACTGCAATTGGCCATGTGCTGAACTTTGATGGCTACAGGGACTGCCTTTTTATGGAGGCTACACCTCTGCAATAATTCAAATTTGTTGGCCAACTTCAAGTGAAGTTTTACTAAACAATGAATAGTTATTCGTTGTTTAGTAATGGCAATGTCATCAGAGAATGTTTTAGCCAATTTTCATTATTGCACAGCCATAGACTTTTTAACAAAGTTGTCTCTGTAGATAGGCTGACCATAACATTTACAATCTAACCAGCAACACATTACGGAATCAGTGAAAATGGGGTCTAAAACTGACAGAAATTTGGTTATTTTTTTAAAATTTATTTATTTATTAATCTATAAATTGGTGCTTTTATATTGGCATGTTAATAAAATTGTTGTATTCAAAGATTGATTCTACAACCAAATAGTAAAACCAGGGACAACCTAGTGATTATGAAGATGATGATAGTTTTTTTTTGGTATTTTCTGTATTTTTATATTTTATTAAATGTAAATATCTTTGGCCAACTTAAAATGAACATATATTAGAGTTGACAATACTTTCCTTCTCATAGTATTGTCGTCATTTTTTGAGTAAATAACTATTTTTAAAGTTAATTGTTCATCTTATAAAGTGGCAATCCTATTTAGAGATATAAACTTTAAAAAAGTTTTCCTGTTAAGGAAGAATTTTTTTGGATAAAATTCAAAAAATTGTTTCTTGTTATGTAAATAAATCTAAACTGTGGTTATAAAAATACACAATTCATTCACAGTCTTATATATAAAATTCTTTTAATTCTGTCTCTAAATATTTGTATTGTATTTTTAATTTCTGCTTATATTATTATAATACAGTAGAGCATTGATTATCCAAATGTTGTTGATCAACCGAAACGTCAATTAACCGAAAGCTTTCCAGTCAGCAAATTTAAATTTCTCTAGTGCTCTGGTGCTGCAATCTTGGGCTACTCCAATATTATTTTTGTTGGTGTGCGTGTTTTAGCTGGCAGCACTGGTACATCCATGAGAAGGTACTTATGGACGTGCCAGGATTTGAACAAATTTCAACATAGGATAGGTTAATATATTTTTTCATACATAATTGGTTATCCGAAAAATTTATTTTCCAAACAATCCCAGTCTCCAAATGATTCAGATAATCAATGCTCTACTGTATTTCTATTGCTAGTTTTTTTTCTTTCTTTTTAAATGGACACTGTTTTTCATATCAATTTTCACATTTTAATATTTAATTCAACTTTAATTTAAAATGCTGCTATTTTCTCCCTTGTTTTGTCTTGTGGACAATAAGATAGGCTTTTTTTCCTTATCCATTGTGGGTTCAGTTAGTCCACAATATGGGCAACATGATGGTGAGAGTTGAGGCCATATCTGTATCTGAGACTTACTCTTTGTGAAATATTTTGGGATGATTCATCCAGATTGAATTCTGGGTTCCCCAGAGTGGTAGATTGATGCCTTAACCCTCTTGGTCATCTGGCTGTCCAATTTGTAATGCTATCACCAATTTTATATATACTCCACTTTATTTTTATACACTTATACTAGCTAAATAAGCAGAATTTCCTATTTCTAAATGAGTTTTAAATTTATAATTAGTCTGTAATGTTTGTAATAGTTATTTTTCTATTAACAATTTAAATTTTATATCAACTGCTTAAAACTATTAATATTTTTAGTCAACTTCTTCATATTTAGTTGTTTCTTTTAAAGCCACACTAACAGCCATATAATATTGGGTTATATTCTGGCAATAATAAATATATGGCAGTTGATGTAGCTTTATTGTAATAAATCAGGTTTCAGAAGATGTATATATTTATTTATTTTTAGTTTCATACTTTACTTAAATGCATGACTATTTTTATAACTTTGAAATAAATGTTGATGTGCATGCTTTTTCTTTATTACAGAATCTTAATCAAAATCCTAGAACACTATTACCAAAGTTTTTTGGTCTTTATTGCTACCAGGTAAGACTTTATATTAATAATTCAATATAAATATTATTTAAAATTTATTTAATATACCTTACTATTTTTTTAACAGTGTGGCGGTAAGAATGTAAGAGTTGTCGTAATGAATAATCTTCTTCCATCTTTTATTAAACTTCATCAAAAATACGACTTGAAAGGTTCTACTTACAAGAGAAAGGCCAACAAATATGAACGTAGTAAACAATCTCCTACATACAAAGATTTAGATTTTCTTGAACACCATCCAGATGGAATATTTTTAGAAGCTGAAACTTATAGTGCTTTAGTAAAAACAATACAGCGAGATTGTAGGGTTAGTATTTATTCATATTTTAATATAAATAATTTTAACGTTGATAAAATAATAAAAAATATAGTAAAACCTGTTTTAAAATTGAATCTGAATGAAACAAACCTCCCTAAAGACAACAAAGTCACTCCATTCCAAAAAATTTTTGTGTTAAATTCTGTATAAGATAGAGAAATATCTAACATGGAAACAGTAGAGGTTTTTGGGTATGAAAAATGTAACTTAACTTGTGTTCAAAGCTTCTTGTCCTATTCAATTGTTGTAGACTACTTTTTAAATCTCACAACTTGACAAATGTAGCACTTATCATACAGGATATATGTTTAGAAGAGAGTGGCAAAATTAATCATTATAATTGTCATTTTTGTATGCATTTTGGGTCTAAACCCTCTTTCAGCTCTTGACAACTCTTTTAAAAATTGGTCCTGTGTAAAGTCACAAGGAAAATATATTTTTAATTTAATGTTAACACATAAAGGCATATATATATATAATAATGCTGAGTGAGTACTAAATATATGATATGAAATTTTTTTTAAAAAAAAACAAAAAATTTAACTAAAACTACTGCAGAGTGCAACATTAATCCCTGGTTATCAAATTAACTTGTTTGCTGTATAAAGATTTGCATCCATGAAGTGTAAAATATATACTAGTAAAAATTTTTGGGAACAACAACTTTTTGCGATTGAAAATTTCTCAATTCTTGCATTCGAATACTCCTATCTTTGGTTGGAATCACATTGGATAAATTTGGATTATGCCTAGTAATGAAATTTTTTTTAATGTATGTAAAGATTTTATTATAAAATAAAATGAATGTTGCTGGTGACATTTATCTGGTGTAGTTTAAACATAAAATAAATAAAAAAATACTAAAACCTGTTCAAACTGAAACCTGCCAAAATGGAAAAGTAACTGGATACTGTGCAGTTCAGACTATATAGGTTTCTTTTGTCCTATTCAGATGTCCTAGATGACACTGGGATTCATAGTTGTTGAATCGGGTGGTTCCTGCAGTAGGTAGAGCTGATCTTTGGCTTGTATGGCTTCTTCCAGCCACAGAGTCCAACATTATTTGGTTGATGCTTGTGGGAAGACAATGTCAATCACTTTGGTGGAAGGAGACTGTTGATCTTCACTGAGGGTAAAGACAGTCAGTCTCTTTGGTGGAAAAAGACATTGTCATACCCTGAAAAAAGACTGAGAAGAATTGGAGTTCAATGGTCAAATCTCTTGGAAAGGGAAAGACATTTATTCACACTCTGGGAAATGACAACTCTATGTCCTATTATACATTTTCTGACCCAAACCCAATGTTTGATTCAGATCTTTCTTATTGGTTACTGTTTTGTTTCTAGAAACTGAATTTGAATTAGAGGAGGTGGACATCTTCCTCCACCCTTATGTTGGGTTATCACTCTCTGAAGTGTTTAATTGCAATTTTTCCAGTATGATAGACCATAATTAGGGGAAGATATGTTTTCACTTTCCATTCTAGAAGTATGCAGCTGTGAATAAGAGTTTTTGCTCAGTAATTTGACACACACAGTTTTTTTTATGTATTGGAATGGGAAGACAAGATCAGATCTCTTGTTTACAATTTCTTCTTTCCTATCATTTAACTCACTCTAATTCTATTTCTCTTAACAACACATTTCCTTTCTATTTTGCACCTTTCAAAAACAGAAATATTTTACATAGATACTTTCCCATGAGTAAGGGAATACAGTAACAACTGAGGAAGTTCAGGCCTCTCAGATAATTCTGACATGGAGTGGTCTGTCATTAGGTCACATTTTTGGCTCTATTAATATAATTTTTTTTTTTTAGTTTATATTTGTTATAACTGTAATACTTTGATTTTTATAATGTACTGTTGTTGTAACTTTTGATTTTTGCATTTTGTATAATGTTCAGTTTTGTTTATATATTAATTTAACTGCTGTACAAAGAATTATTGTACTTTGTACAAAATTAATAATAATAAAATCATTCATAAACAATTATGATTTTTTTTATAATTTTTATCACAGAAATAATTATTTCAAAAGTCAAAAATATGTCAAAAAAATCGAATCTTAAAAAGTATATTACTGAATAGTAGTTTTTTAAAATATTTTATTTTTATTATTATCATCTTTTAAATTAGGTGCTGGAAAGTTTTAAAATTATGGATTACAGTATGCTGGTTGGAATACACAACCTGGATCAAGCTGCAAGAGAGAAAATGGTAAGTGCATTCATAAATTGGATTATACATACTTATTTGTAAATTATAAATAAAATTATATAAATTAAATGAAATAAAGTTTTATCTTCAAATTTACTTTCTCTTAAACTTAAAAACAAATTGTTTTGACTTCCTTGCATTCTTATTACTACAGTTTTCATTTACAAATATAAAAACTTCTGTATGATGTTTTCTTGTGGTTTTATTTAACTGTTTTTAATTATTTATAATATGTTTTTAAATTTCTGTTATTATTTGATCAATTTTGTAATAGTTTTAAGATCTTTGTTTCTGATAATTTTGCTTTAAATTTAATTATGATTCATTCTTTTATAATTTATATACATATACATACATATGTATTTCGAAGAGTAAGGAAAGAAGAAAATGCTTCATCATTCTCTGAAAAATTAGTATATTCAAAAAAACTTAAAAGTAGGCTATAGAAAAAAATTGCTTTGCTTATTATATATATAGTTGATGCAACTTACACAATAAAATTTTTATTAAAAGCAATGAAGTATTTTAAGGATTTCAGATTAAAATTATTTGCATCTTTGATTTTAAAGATTTAGTGAAAATAAAAAATATATAAAATTCATATAGGAGAATGCAGTTCAAAGAATAAACTGATTTAATGAGTATTTACATATATTAGTATATTATAGACTTTAATTTGGATTTTTTGTGCATTTTTAAAAGTCATGCACATCTAATTGTTTTGTGTGTGTATGTATATATATATATCAAAGTATATATATAATTAAAGGGGTTTCTTAATCCATTTGCAAAGTTATTTGTACTTAAATATCTTAATTTATTATTCATTTACACACACACCTTGTGCAGTAAGAAAAATAAATTTATTATACTGAAAAACACTTACCTTATTTCCTATTAGTAAGCATGCAGCATAATCATGCTATTATATGATAATTTTTTATATTAAGGTTTTTTATGTTGCAATATGAATCATATTTGTTTTTGTAATGACTACATATTTATAAGATTATTTAGGAATCAGTATATGTTAATAAACCAAAAATTATTTTAAATTAATTACATTGATTATGTGCAAGATGGATATTTAGGGAAAAAAGTATATATAGTCAAACCTTGGGTTTCAAACTTAATAAATTTTTAAAAGTTGTTTAAGAACCAATTTGTTCTAAAACAGAACAAATTTTCCCATAAAAAAACAATATAAAATGGATTAATATGTTTTCAACCCCAAAAACAAAACATTTGTTTTTAACTTCTTAGTTGTATTTCATGCATAAAAATGCCTATAAAGGCAATATATTAATATTTTATTTATGTATTAAAAGCAAAATGTTCCATCACCACCAATCAAAACTAACAGTTTACAAAAAAGTGCTACAAATAGACTCTGCTCTGACTGCCTGCATGAAATATAACCAAATCAGTCAATTTAAATTTTAGTTTCAGTTTTGGTGTAAAGGCCTGTTTTAATTATTATTTTTAAGTTAAGTTGTTATTTTTAGCTTTAACTGGCTACCTAATATTAATAAATATTAACTTAAGCATATTTAAACACAAATTCTTGAATGCCATTTATATTATGTGAATGTCAATTAATGCAGTTTTCGTTAATTCATTAATACATTCAACTGTAGCACATACCAAAAAATGGAAATAGTATCTTACCCACATTCACACTGAAATGTAAATTAAATAGCAACATCATCGACGATTCTTATAGTGATGCGAGGCAATATCGGCACTGCTAACTTCTGAATTGGTAATCCTATTGTTAATTGGTCAGGCCATCGACTTTCTTCAACATAGGAAGTATAGGAAGTTGACTATTGGCGGCAAGCTGTACTGAGTAACATGTTAGTCAACTGGGGCAAAAATGAGCTCAAAATTTTGTTTGTAAATCAAATTATTTGAAAAACAAGGGGTTTGAAACCTGAGGTTTGACCATAATTAAAAATTTTAATAAGAAATTACTTTTTAAAAGTAAAGAATAAGTATTAAAATAAACCATTTATAAGTTATCAACATTTCAATTTTTATTGCAAAATATACTTGTTTTAAACTATGCTTGTCTAAATGCATATTAAAATAGACATAAATAGTAATATGTAGATAGATATTAAATCACAACTAATTATTTACACATGATCTAATAACTTATAATACTTTTGAATCAGGAACAACGATATGGTAAAATGGAGCAGCAGAAATTTTTGTATGGAAATGATAACGAGGCAACTTCGAAAGGATCTAGTATGTATTGAAAACTTTTACTTTATTAAAAAAAAATTTATTTAGAAATATTGATGTATTAAAACATAATCTTTTATATATAGGTACTCAAGTGACAGCATCAGGAACAAGTCTTACTCGTAGCAAGTCTATCAATAAACAGCGGCTGGCCGCATTTTCTACAGCAATGGAATCAATTCAAGCAGAAGTTGAACCAGTTGATCACGATGACGATGTTCCGTAAGTTTCAAAATAAATTTTTAACATGTTTGTTAATTCCAAAACTTCTTTCAATTAGTTTTATAATAATGATGATAGTTAAATTCATTTAGTATTACTTAAATCTTTTGATAATTTTTGCTTTTTCCAAATTTAGATATGAAGAATTAAACAAAATGTTGTTAAGAAAATTTAATATTCTGATACATATTTAAATTAATTTGAAAATGGTTAATTTCAGTGGTTATTTCATTTCTAAGAAATTGAAAAAATAAATAAAGTTAAATTGTACTGAAGCTGGTTCTCTTTTTAAACTTTCATGAATTATTTTTTTAAAAACTTAAAAATTATGGGAATATTAATACCAATAGTAGATGATTATTATAGATTGAAATGTGTAATCATTAATGAATTTATTAATAAAAAATTTATTCATAAAAGATGATGTAATTTAGTAAATTCAGCTTAAATTATTGAATTATTATGTCATATTCTTAATCTATTGTATATTTAAAAAATATATATATATATATA